TAGGTCCTTTTTTTTAGCGGAAATTTTTTAACCAGAACATAATATTTTTCCTAAAATAAGTAGCTTAATTTACTCTTTATAACATCAGCTATCTGCCAATGAAAGTCCTGTCAAAATCTGTCCAGCCATTTCGGAGGTTAGCTAGAACAAACAGACAGACAGATAAAAAATGTAAAAATTTGTGTTTTCTTATAACTACCGCATATAATTTCATGTGTATTTAGAAAAGTAAAAATATCTTACAAACAAGCACTTCAATTATATTAATCTGTATAGAATAATAGGTACCTCGACAGACGAATATCAAAATAGAATGCCTTTAAACAAAACTTAATTGTTATAATTTCTTATATTAAATTTAGAGTTTATTATTATTATTATTTCAGAGTTATGAGAGTAAAAAAGTTTGTGCGCAGCCCTTAAACTTAAATTTAAAAAGCGTGAAAGTGATACCAAATACCTATAATATTTAAAAAGGTCAAATTATTTAAAAAAAAACTAACGTCTAGACTAGTTTCATAACTAACTGTCCTCTAATTGTGCGGAAGCACGCTATGGTAAAATTTTTGTAAGCAAAAAAATGTAAATGAAAGTTAATGGCACCATTATTTACAGAGTAGACAAATCCCAGAGATTTTAACTGTATAAATATTTTAAATAAAAAAATCTTTTCGGAGTTTTACGCGGATTAATTTTAATTTTTGGTTCCGGACGTTTCAAATGCTGCAAGCAATGACTGAATGATGAATGAATGAATGATGAAAAAATCCGAAAGGATAGTTTTATTTAAAATATCAAATATTCGTTTAAATCTAAGAAAGTATTCAATATAATTATTAATTAATTTTATAGTTTGTGTAAAATAAAGAACACTGTAATTCGATATGACACTGTATACAAAATAAATTAAAGTATGGTTACCTTCTTTATATTTTGCATGATGATGATGCCATTTAGGTAGTTTTTTTTATTTTCTGATTTCTAACTGAAAAAAAAAATTATTACGTGTTATCGTTTGTTATATACATTTTTTATTACATATTTTACATGTGCCTAAAACATTTTTCTTCTCAAAATATATTCAATTTAAATTAAAAAAAAAATTATCACTCTTACTTAACATAGTATATACGATCTTTTTCTTTCTCTCTGCCCAAAGGTTGCCTAGAAGAGATCGCTCACTTAGCGATTAGGCCGTCTGGTGTGCTATTTTTTTTTTATATATGTATATATCATGTGATTTTTTTGGTGTTCAATAAAGAATATATGATTTTTTTGCTAAAAATAATTTATTTTATAACCTCTGAGCAAATAACCTTGTACTTTCAATAATAAAATTATTCTATTATGGAAAATAAAGTAGAAATTTACTTATCAGCGGATACCAAACGATAGACACCAAGACGCTGATTGTAATCATTCAATCAATCGCACGTGTATCGATATGAATTAGTGATGTAAATGCCGTATATCGACATCTTGTATCGGCTTATGAATCGATAAATCGACATTGCTAAAGGCGATTTCATTTTCACTCGATCAAATATGATACTACAATGATATTAGATGGCAACGATTATGCTTATATCATATATACTTTCATTTATCAATGTTAAATTTCTAAATTGTATTTGATAATTTATTAGAAAAGACACTAAATAAAGCAAGTAGTAGACCTAAGCCTACTACTTGCTATGAATATTTCTTGGTTTCATTCAATAATTTAATGAAATATTATTCATTTTTGGTCATTTGATCTACATTTTTCATATTACTTTCTTCCAATTAGCTTCAAATAAATGCGGTATTTGTTTGAAGCTACGTACAAAATTATACAAAGTTTATTTGTATAATTTGAGACGTTTCTAAGCCTTATTTCTACCAACAACATCAAAACCACACATGCATATTTAGAAAATTTTACATAGTTCAAATTATACAATTTTCACAGACCTTACGTTAAGTATACGACAAGCGATTCGACCTTAAAACATCACTCAAAAGGATTTTGCCTCGTTGTCTTAGTTTCCTTTCTCAGTAAAATGTAAATTCGACGTTGCTGATTGGGTCGGGCATTGGTACAATCGACAGTAGTTGACCGACATAAAAGTGATTGAGGTGACACGCGATTTCACACGGACGCTAGTGGGATATCTTCCGCAATGGGATGGATTAAGTACGCTTCGGCACGAAAGAGAGAAAACTCGTGTTGATTTTATGGGTAATAAGTATAATGGCGCTATCATTTTCCCATTAAACCTTGATTGTTTTCTTGTACTTTATTCGAGTTTATGTCACTTTTTGAGTTAATTTATATTATGAGATGCGTTAAATTTTAATGTATATACCAAGGTATGATTATGTAAGAAGTTATAAATAAAACTATCTTTTCGGATTTTTTTGCGAATTTATTTAGATTTTGGGTTCCCGACGTTTTGAATGCTTTATTTTATTAGAATTTAAAATGTCAAGTATTCGCGTCAATCTAAGAATGTATTATAGAAGCTATAAAATTAACTATGATTAAGTTATTTATTTCTACCAGTATTCGTATGGTGGTCGAGTTTTGACCATAATCATTATTTAAAAAAAAAGAACCAACTGTTAAAAAAAATTGATAGTGCGCTTGTCAACAGCTACTAAATAAAAAAATCTGTTATCAAACAGCCGAGAAAAAAGTACTGAATTTCCTATCTATATATAGATATAGTCTTTTCCTGTTTATATATAGATTATTAAGTTCATATATTAAGATAGAAAATTACACCATGTCATATTAGAAATAATATAAACTTAAATTATAAACAAATAATATGCAAAACTCATACTTTACAATGTTTATTTCTTATAAGTATTATACATATATACATACATATATTAGTAACTAGCAACCTTTTTTTAATTTTCGCTCGGGCATTTCCACCTTTGTTCGACCCTTAGGTGTTTAATAACAAAAAAATAAAAATCCTTTCATAGTGATTACTTACGTAAGTGTAAAAATAGACGGTAATTTGAACCTTTCAGATCCAACAATTTGATCTGGGTTTTATGTCAGCCGGGACTAGCTTCTTATACACACAAAAAATATTCGAGATCATATAAATAAATAAGATATGGGCAAAACATAAAATAAATCTTAGAGCAAATGAGAAATTAAAAAGTTAACATAATATTTATTCTAATGTTATATTTTATAACAGTACTTTTAAACTAATGGCTGGATCTGACAGACGCTTGAATACGACTCACTGGCTTATTGAATGCCCGTTCACAATTTCTGTATTCAAAATTACTGGCATAACCGCTATGTTTATGTAAACGCGGGGACAGATTGGTTTATCGATATAAATCGTTGACATCTCTATTGCACTATAATTTGAATGTGTTTGGTTGGTGTTAATTTTACATTGAATGAACTTTTTATTCAAATGCGATACTTTCATGTGGAATCCTCAGCTATTATAAGTTAATTATTTTATTTACTTTTAATTTTAAACTTTTTAAAAATTAAAAAAAAATAATACACTTTTTATTTTAAATCATGAGATTCGTTTTGGGGTAATTTATACCTTAGTTTAAGAAATCATGACATTTAGTTTATAATAGGCAAATATATTGTATATAGAAAACATATCCGAATTGAGACCATTTTTGAAGTCGGTAAAAATTTCAAACTAAGAAAATATTACCTTGTAAAATATTTTCGAACATATATAAAGTTTATATGCTTAGAGCAGGTATTGAACTTATCTCTAACGAAGTACTAACGTATGCCACATATGTAGATTATCACTTACCCTACTAGGCTTTCTTATTATTATTCCTTACATTATAGCTATCGTTATTTCTTGTAGCTATCGGTGCGTTATGCAATTATAATTTACGTGCATTACTGACTTTTGCCCGTGACCTCGTTCACATTTTTTTTGTTGATGTTACCTTGATCCTAAACATAGCGTCCTCAATGGATGATTAAAATTAAAAAAAAAATTTAAAATAATATGGCCGTTAATTAATATACATTATATATATATGGGTCAATCAACTTTTAAGTGTACATCAATGATAAATTTTATTTTTTTAATTTTATTTGAATTTTTTTATATTTTAACATTTTTTCTTTAGATAATTATTTATATTTTAAGAATTCACATAGAGCAGAACGATTTATTTAAATAAAATAGTAAATTTGACTCCAAAATCCACATGACTCTAGTTAAGATAGTCCCTTGGACAACTAACTAAATAGACTTCTGAACCATTTGAAATTCAGTCAAATTGTGAACCGTCACTTTATTCTCACTTAATATAGGATGGATTTCAATTTGTCTTCCATAAATAAAAGACGTGACTTTTAATTGATAAGTTATTTCCAATTATATTGTCTCCTGGACAACGACAAACTTTAAATGTAACGAACTTTTCATTTAACTTGTAAAATAATAATTAATACGTGATATTAAAAACTCTTTGTTTCACTTTTAATTGTTACATTCATATTTGAAAATTTTGTAAACCTCACTGTTTTTTTAAAGTAAAATTGACGATAATGTGTCTTTAGGAGACAGGGACAAAATGGTTGTCCAGTGGACATATACGGTTGTCCATAGGACATACTCGGGAGTTCAAAGGAGATACTAGGATTGAAATCGCCTGTATTTGTTATTTTTATGTTAAAAAAACAACTGTATGACAATAATTTTCAGTTTTATTATAATTTTTTACGAAAGAATCAACATTACAATAAATGACTAAATAATGAACAGACCTATAAACGTGACAACTCTTACTAATTAACTTACAAACATTAACAGCGTCTTTAATCAGCTTAAATACTTTTTTGACTCTAACTTGTACTTAGCTGTCTCAATAAATGACTAATACCTCTGTGTATCACATAAGGGTTCAGTAAGATACAAAACTTGAAAATTAATCTACAAAAACAAAATTTCTTAATCATAGCAGAGATCCATAGGTGTTACACTAAAATACATGAACTATTTTCTAAAAACATTAATATCACATGAAAATTTATAATACTCAGTGCCTCTTTTGTGTTCAATGTCCGGGGTTGGAAGTTTTTTAATTATATCATTGAATGCTACATAGGATTTATCTTTCTTATTCAATATAAAAAGTTTTCCATTTTTCACACATTTTAGGAATGTGACTCTGATTTCACCGTCTTCATCGATATCGGTTTCGGCAATGCACGCATATGTATCGTATGATTTACCTTTGGTGCTGTAAACTTTGACCAGCAAAAAGTCACCTACACCAGGCAATAAATTCTTTTGTCCTGACGTAGATGGCTGTGGTTCCTCTGTAGTGTCATTTTCATTGTCAGAGCTATCAGACGATCCATATACACTCTTGTAGATGCTCTTGCGTAAACCTTCGTGTATTTCAGCGAATGTAATGTTGTCTTTATTCGAGGATAGCAAATTATTTAAAGGTACGTCGTCAACATCGCTGAATGTGTCGTTGTAAATATTTTCCAATGGTGCTAGGATAGGACTTAATGGCATCTCTTGAGGTATGTCTTCGTCAGGGTCGACAGGGGTTGGAATGTTCCTTAGAGCTGGTATCGGCGAGTATAACTTGGGACGCAAGCATTCGCATAATCCTCTAGAACAGAAGCAACTCAAATTTCTGGACATTAGTTGGCCATAGCTCTTTGAAAATATTTGGTGCACTTCTTTTGTACCGGGCAAAGGCAAAAGATTCTTTGGTATGTCCCTCTGAATCCCGTCGATCTCTTCTTTTGTTACATAAAATAACTGAATTTTACTCGACTCTTTGAGAACTTCATAAAATTGAAGAGCATCAGTAACGTCCGTTCCTGTTGCCACTTTCTTATCAGCTGCTCTTTTTAAGAATCCCCCAATACCGTCTGCAGGGCCTTTGCCATGCCCGGCTTCAAAGAATGACCAGCTAAAAGCTTGGAAGCCGTAGCTAAATGTTTTCGTGCAGGCCAAATAAAAATTTGCTTTTTGACGATATTGCGAAAATGGGCCATCGGAGAAATAATGAATAGTGTCAATTCCAGGGTAATTTTCAATAATCTTTATCAAAATGGGATGCAAATGGGCCCATATTGCAGCTGGTTGATGAATATTGCATGGAGAAATAGTACAAAACGATAAAGCTTCATATTTTTTATCTTTATCATATACGTAAACCACAACTGTGTGAAGAGTGACTTGGTTACGAGAGCCACCAAATTGATGCGCCTGAATTTCTTCTGTACATTTACAATTATAATTTTCGCTGAAATCGACTAATATCACAGCTTCGTTTGCTCTGATCTCATCAACACATTGGCGAAAATTTTTAAACTGAGTTTTCATATTAAAAATATGTTTCTTTATACTCTTTAGTTCTTCTTGAAAGTTCTTGACCATGTTTTCTATAGTATCTTCTTTAAGTCTCTTCGCGTTCTTTACAGCTTTAAATTTCTTGTCGTTTTTCAGATAGATTTCCTGTTCCCTCACCCATTCAAACCACTGTATTTTGCCTCGAACACTGTCACTATTTATCTTGAATTCCTTATCCCGACACTGATTACAAGTACCAAACATGCACTCTTTTTTAGTACTGTCACAGATTGTCTCTGATATCAGTGTGCTTAGATCTAAAGCACTAATAACTCTTTTTTGTTTCAGAGCCTTTATCTTAGCTGCTGCATTAGTATGTACTTTACAAAGGCACATATCCCTTCCATCAACTGTTGGTGTAACTACGTAGAAAGGGCGATTTTTAGTAAAATAGAAATATGAGCATTTAGCATTTGGATTCTCTGATTTGAAGGCTTTGAACAAGTGTTTCATTGAGTCCAATAGGAACCGTTTTTGCACCTTTTCTTTGCCTTTAGTGATGGTTTCTTTTTTGCCGGCAGTATTTCTAGATACATCATCTCTTAAGAAAAAGCTATTAATTTTTTTTGTCAGCTCTGTATCTGAATTACGCGTGTTACTTGTTCTGAGTCTTCCTTGTAAGCCCAAGCAGTCTTTTACTATTTTATGCTTTTGCGCACCAAGTTTCGCGAAAATGTTTTTCAGCATTTTTTTGCCGTTTCTGGCTTTAATTTTCCGGTAATTATCTTTGATAGCGTTTGTTAATATGCCGTACTTTTGTTTTTCTTCAATATTTTCTTCCCTTTTTTCTTTTACTTTAATTAATTCTTTTTCTCTCCGATGAGCTCTCTTTTTATATTTTTCAAACTTTTTCTTCCACTTCTTGCTTTCAGATTGCAATTTTACATTTTCTCTATATAATTTAGACCTGTCTCGTCGAACTTTTTTTCTGCCTCTAATCTTCTCATTTTTTGAAGACACGGCAGGAGTGGGAGGTGGTGTCGTCGGTTGAAGTTGATCTTCGGGATTTATTTCTTGCAGAATAGACGGAGAGCTTGAGGGCGTATTCTCAATTATATTCCTAACAGCTTTTTGGCGATTTCTCTGTGACTGTTTTCGCAGCTTCCATATAATTCTGCAGTTTTCTTTATCTTCTGGCGGCATACTTGAAATTAGTTTTTTATTCTTATGGTAGCTTACCCTTTTTTTTCTATTTCGCTCAGCTAATTTCTCCGGGTCTGCTTTAAGTCTTTCTCTATAGCGTCTTGATTTTTCTTTTTCCGTCAAACCCATTATCTAAAAATAACAACAAAAATAATTTAGAATATAGAACTATTAGATATAGCAAAAATGTGTTAAGTAAGTAAGCTAACTGCCTCCGTGGTGTAGTGATTTGAGTGTTTGTCTTAGGGTCCGGAGTTCCCTGGTTCGATCCTCGGGAAAGGAACACGTAAAGTTAATATTTGTCAATTTATCACTTTCACTCACAAGATTGTGCCCAGTTTGGTTAGGACATAGCAAGCTAAACCACCTAATTGTTCATAACAAAGATGGTTCCGTGCTTCGGAGGCCATGTTAAGCCGTTGGTCCCGGTTGCTATGATTAAATTAGATGGCAGTCGTTACACAATCATGTCAGAGGCCTACTGCTAGTAGTAGGTGGTTTGAAAACTCTGACACCAGAGATCATCGGATCGTTCATCGACTCGGTGTTCCACACGTCAAGAAGTAAAAAGTTGAAATTGGTCAAAATATCAATCTAATTTATATTAAGCAATAATAAATGCTCTAGCCTTTGTAAGAGGCTCTTCAGTGACTAATTATTGAAAGAAAAAGTATTGCTTTATGCTGATTCTATCATTAATTGTCCTATGGACAACCAAAATGTCCCACGGACAACGGTTTTGGTTGTCCAAGTGACTGGTTGTCCGAGTGACATTTATCAGTCTTTGCGCTTCCTGATAATAAATAATGATATTTTGAATTAGGTCTTACGCGCAGTGAAAAATATAGATAAAATAGAATATATTTCACTTTTATTTACTACGATATATCAAATACTTACGTTTTTGTGCTGGTTGTCCGGTAGACACACAAAAAAGCCACCCACTTTTTCAAAACGCGCGCGACCGACTGACACCGCGGCAATGATGAAATCAAAATGGCGGTTGGATGAGTGTTGTCACCAAATCGACCGACTTATTGTCAAGGCACTGATCACTCCATCTATGTTTTGGTTTCGGAACTTTTTTACCGTTGTCCGGTGGAAGTCGGAATAATAAAATATAATGGACTAAAACGAACATGCAAAAATTCGGTAAAATTATGAAACAAACAAAAATCTATATGCTAGCATCTTAGTGAACATTGTAATGAATAATTATGTACAAGCGTTATTAATTGCCATATAGTATTTTTTGTATAAAGTAATGTTTCATTGTAATTAGCTACTGGGGGACAAATAAAAAAACACTACATCCAGATGTTTTGTCACCTGGACAACCATTAAAATTCCAGTTTAATAGTGATTTATTTAAAATAATTTACTCGTATGTTTGCTTAATAATAAGATAAATGCGACATATGCCAAAAAACCACTTAATTTTCTTTAGAACTGCGATTATTGGTCAGGGACAGAATATAGTACTTACAGGACAAATAAAAGTTGATTGACCCATATATATATATATATATATATATATATATTATCAGCATAATCTCGATAATTTTAATATGTTTCGTGACGTCATGCAACAGCGTTAATAAAAGTAGTTTCCTACCCGCTCAGAGCTCATTTACTTCTCGGCTTTCGGAACGATAGGTCGTTGTTTCATGACGAGCGCGTATACTATTTTTATATTAAAATTAACGGTTGATTGCTTGGTTAATTTAAATTGCAATTCTTATGTTTGTGTTTTTCTTATTTAGTTAGTGGTTAAGGTTAATTTCGTGATAATTGTTCGAGTTGTCAAATTATTAATAAATAGAAGTTAAGTGTTCGGTTTTGTGTCTTTTTTTTTAATAAATAAGTTTGTTTTCACCTAAAATCAGAAGTGGGATAGATCCTTACGACACCACTTCATAAGCAAACAGCCGTTAATTTGAAATCGTCATGCCGCGTCCACGATCGGGCCGTTCGCGTTCACGTAGTCGATCGGGTAGAACTCCTAGCCGTGTAGATAGACAGTCCCGCGGTAAATCGTTGAGGAACGAACAAACGCGCAATAGGCCGTCACGGGCAACTCGCCGCCGTCATAGATCGCGAAGTGAATCTGACGATAAAAGGTTATCTCGTTCGCGTAGTAGGTCAGTAGGTTCTCCCTTTAGTGAAAGACGATCTCGCAGCAGATCGCGTCGTAACAAACGTGTGCACAATCGTCGCGAGCGAGTATCGCGTCGAAGTACTGAACGTTCTTGGCGACCGCGCAGGCTGTGTTCGGAGAATCGTGAGCGGATATCACGCGGTAACAGTGAGTATTCATTAGTTTCGGGTAGATCTCGTTCGCGCAGTGGTAGTAATTCGATTAAACGTACGTTAGATGCGATTATGACTCGTCTGTCTGCTATCGAGCAATCGACAGTCAACTCGTCACGAAATTCGTTACAAACTGATCACGGTAGCGTACCTGTAGTGGAAAGCGACGCGTCCACGAGCACTGCTCAAGCGTTTACGGAAGCATTGCTTGCCATTACCCGAACGAAGCCGCAGGGTTATTATGTGTCGAATTTTGATCCGGCTGTGCACGATTTTGAAGTGTGGTGTAGTGAAGTAAATAGGGCGAAGCAAATTAATAATTGGGACGATTTAGAGTGCTTATCGCGAGTCGCTAATTGTTTAAAGGGCGATGCCAAGATTTGGTTAAACGAATGGACCAGTAATGATCGTTCGTGGTCCAATTTCTGTAGAGAGTTTAGGTCATTGTGTCCGCATCAGCTAGATTACGCGAATATACTCTACGAGGTTATGAGCACAAATTCTGATAGGTTTTCGACGTACGCCGAATACGCGCGTAGATCTTTATTGCGATTACGTATTGTAAAGGGGGTAAGCGAAGATCTTATGGTCCAAATAGTTCTCCGTGGAATTAACAACGCGCAGGTTAGGGCAGCTGCTATAAATGCCAATCTGACCGTAGATAATTTAGTACCGTTTTTGGCTATTTATGTTAAACCTAAACCGAACTTTAAATACGAGGGTCGTAGGGCTACTAATAGTTTTACTAACAGTTCCGATACTCGCCGACTTAAGTGTCACGGTTGTGGTAAATTAGGTCATATGCGTAATGAATGTCGAAAGAGAACCGTTGATGATAAACGGAAACATAAGGTAGACAATGAGGGATCGAAACCGACTTGCTCATTTTGTAAAAAGATAGGTCATACGGAGAATGTCTGTTTTGCGAAATCTAGGGCTCTTACTCAGGGCAGTAATCACAGAAATGTTAACCTATGTAAACAAGTAACTAGTGGTCGGGAAGTTGGGGACATTAGTACTGCGGTAATACAGGGTATACCTGTAGACGTTTTGATAGACAGCGGAGCGCTTAATATTTCCTTAATGTCATCGGACACTGTTAAGTATTTTAGTTGCCAACGTAAGCCAATTAATTGCGTATTGAAGGGTATAGGTAAACAGACTATTGTCGCTCAGGAATTTGTTACCCTTGTTGTTGAATTTTGTAAAATCGCTCTTGAGATTGATTTCGTGATCGTTCCGATACGTGTATGAACACTTCAATAATTATAGGCACGGACGTCCTCGATAGAGAGGGAATTATTTATGTTCGATCAAAGTACGGTCAGTATTTGATGCATACTCCGAATTCTAATATAGTTAACTCTGTTGAGACTGAAGCTGTTAAAATCAATTCATCTCTTCAAGGTTCCGATTTTAATTCATTAAAGATTGTAATTGATAAGTTCACGCCGTTTTTGATATCTGGCACTGCCACTTCCACAGTGAAGACAGGCAAGATGCAAATTAAATTAACTAGCCAGGTTCCTATTGCATATCACCCTTATCGGTTGTCTCATCAAGAGAAATTAAAAGTCCGCGAATTAATAAAAGATTTATTGGACAAAAATATAATTAAGGTATCGACTTCTGCATATGCGAGCCCTATCATCCTTGTTAAGAAAAGGATGGTACGGATCGCATGTGCGTTGACTTTCGTGCGTTAAATCGAATAACTATAAAAGATCGTTATCCGCTTCCGCTTATAGAGGACCATATAGATCGTCTTGGGGGGTCTAAATACTTTAGTTGCCTAGATATGGCGTCAGGATTTTATCAAATCCCAATTAGCGACGAATGTACACACTTAACGGGGTTCGTTACACCCGAGGGACATTACGAGTTTCTTAAAATGCCATTTGGACTTTGTAACTCACCTACAGTCTATCAAAGAATAATAAATGACACCCTTCGAAGATTTATCGATGCCGGAAGTGTACTTGTGTATATTGATGATGTACTTTTAATGAGCATGTCTATTCCTGAAGGTGTCAACTTACTTCATGATGTACTGACAACACTTACCGATGCAGGATTTTCGATAAACCTTCGAAAGTGCTCGTTTTTGACTACAGAAGTAGAATATTTGGGTAGAAGTATTAGTCATGGTCAGGTTAGGCCGAACCCTCAGAAAATAGCAGCTTTGGTGAACGCACCCACACCAAATAATGTTAGGCAGGTTAGACAGTTCTTGGGGCTAGCCGGTTACTTTCGTCGATATATAAAAGACTATGCAACGAAAACTGCAAGTATTTCCAAATTAACTAAAAAGAACGTAAAGTTTGAATGGGGTGAAGAACAGGAACGGGTTCGTCAGTATTTAATTAGCCAGCTTACGAATGAACCTATACTTGCTATATTCGATCCACAGTTAGTTACAGAGTTGCATACGGACGCGAGTAGCGCAGGTTATGGGGCGGTATTAATGCAGGTTCATGGGGATGGTAGCAAAAGGGTGGTAGCTTACTACAGTAGGGTGACCCTGGGAGCGGAAAGCCGCTATCATTCCTATGAGTTAGAGACATTGGCGGTCGTCAAAGCATTACAACATTACAGGCATTATTTAATCGGTATTCAATTTAAGATCATTACTGATTGTAATGCTTTGAAGGCCACCGAAAAGAAAAAAAAATTTACTGCCACGGGTCGCGCGATGGTGGATCTACTTACAAGACTTTAACTTCACTATCGAATATAGGAAGGGCGTTATGATGTCTCATGCCGATTATCTAAGTAGAAACCCACCAGTAGCGCAAGTAAATTACGTTGACAGGCCATTA